GACACACGTTTCTGATACCGATCCTCATCAGGACAGCTAGTTTAGAAATGGGAGTTAATGTTAGCTAATTGACTACAGCTCATCTCGTACTGCTGACATGTTTCAGATAAACAATCCGCATCAGGACAGCTTGTTTTAGAAATGGAGGTTAACTTTCTAATATAGGACTTAATGTTAGCTAATTGACTAGAGCACATCTCATCTCAAACTGCTGACATGTTTCAGATACACAATCCTCATCAGGACAGTTAGTTAACCAAATACTATTTTATTTGCAGGTGAAAAATTTCCGAGATTATATTAACTTATTTTTGAAAGATAAATACGATGAGAATGATCAGCCGTTAAAAGTTGTTTATTATGATAGTAATCCAAGATGGCAGGTAGCTGTTACCCTTAGTGATAAAGGTTTTCAACAAGCTAGTTTCGTTAACAGTATAGCTACCACAAAGGTACGTGTCAGGGTTTAAATTTCTTATTTTTATACTTTTGTTGTAGTAAAGAGGGAAGGTGGCTCAGTGAGTTAGAAGCTTGCTCGCTAACCTGAAGGTCCAGGATTCAATCCTAGCATAGGTCAAGATAATACCTTCAGATTTTTCAACCCAGTTTTCCCCTGTCAGAGAGTTAGAAGCTTGCTCACTAACCTGAAGGTCCAGGATTCAATCCTAGCATAGGTCAAGATAATACCTTCAGATTTTTCAACCCAGTTTCCCCCTGTCAGTGAGATAGACACTTGCTCACTAACCTGAAGGTCCAGGGTTCAAGCCTAGCATAGGTTGAGATAATACCTTCAGATTTTTCAACCTGGTTTCCCCCTGTCAGTGAGTTAGATGCTTGCTCACTAACCTGAAGGTCCAGGGTTCAAGCCTAGCATAGGTTGAGATAATACCTTCAGATTTTTCAACCTGGTTTCCCTCTGTCAGTGAGTTAGATGCTTGCTAGCTAACCTGAATGTCCAGGGTTCAATCCCAGCATAGATTGAGATAATACCTTCAGATTTTTCAACCTGGTTTCCCCTTCCCCTTCCCCATCCCTCAAAATAATCAAACATGTATCAGTCAACAAATTTCATTTTTCATTATTTTTTTTTTATTTTCAGGGTGGTCGTCACGTAGATGTTGTAGCGGATCAAATTGTGAAGAAATTATTAGAAATCGTTTCGAAAAGGGATAAGGGTGGAATCAAGATTAAGCCGTTTCAAATTAAAAACCATCTGTGGGTATTTGTGAACTGTTTGATCGAGAATCCCACCTTTGACTCTCAAACAAAAGAAAATATGACCCTACAAGCCAAGAGTTTTGGCTCTAAGGTTACTTTATCAGAAGATTTTATGAAACAGGTAGGTAGAGTGATATTGTGGTCTGGCTTTGGCTTTTCTAAAA